AGCATTCACAGTGACCAGACCAGGTGCACCGTTAGAATAGCTGTAGAGTCGCTCAATCCCGAGGATAGGGAAAGTGCAACTCGTGCCCGACCGCAGATACCCCAACAAAGGGAAACAACAGTAGTTACAAGCTTATTGCCCCAGGGCAGCTGCCCAGGCATCGTGGGGACCGCGTCACACGCGGTGTTTACTCATGTGACTCCCACGAGGAGGACCAGGCCCAGGGGGTCCAAGTGTAGGTGTCAGTGTGAGGTCGTCGCAGCTATGGCATACCAATAGGAAGACCCATAGCGACCGATGCTGAGTGTGTGCGAAAGCAGTGGGAGTGCTCAAATGCGTGGAAGCACGGATTTGACGCTAACACATTCACTCATCAATTAATTTCCAAACAAGCAAGATCTAGCTTTTTTGACGTGTGGTGCATTGCGAAGCTTTGCCCAGCCACGCAGGGTCAGACTGCACGACGAGTTGACTTGCGAGAAAGCGCTGTGAAAGAGAGAGAACTTTGATGATGGCATGACGTCACAAATAACTTTGAGGTTCCCGTGTGTACTTGTCTGTGTGTCCTTGTTGCTCCCGAAGTGGCTCTCGTGATATCTTTTATCTTTTACCTGCTCGCCACATCCATCGCCACTTTGGCAGTGTCTACCTGCGCTCGTCGTAATTTCGCTGTAATTTTTGCTATATTTGTGTGGTATTTTTGCTGTATTTGTAAAGTCCTTGGATGATGTGTTTCTCAATCTGATGTTGTATATTGTTGTATATGGGCGTGCCGTGGTGTTTGTGTGATCGTGCTCTGATGGCTTGTACGTGTGATGTGTGACTGCCTTTTTGGATGTCTTGTGTTTAAATTGGCTGTATCTCTGGTTATACTTGGTCGTTTCTCACGATTTTTATTTCCTTGTGCGTGATCCTTTGCGCTTGTACTTCTCGGCATTATAGAAGCCGATGAATGTCTCCTGTTTTCTTGTGTTGTTTTGCGTGTCGTCGTGATTTTGATGTCGGGGTTGCACAGCTATGCTTTCAGCACTGAAGTTCAAACACCTAATTTATTATGATGATCAAGCACGACCACACTCGACCTCGCATCATCAGGCCGAAGCAGTACAGGTCCGAGCAGATCAGGCCCGAACACATTTGACCTCGCATCATCAGGGCCGATGCAGATCAGGCCCGAGAAGATGAGGCATGGATTTTAGGCCCGAAGCACGTCACTTCCAAGCAAATCAGGCCCGACCACATTCGACCTCGCATCATCAGCTCACCCGCTGCGCCGAGGCCCGTGGTGTGTACCAGCCGGGGCTGGATGAGGCCTTTGTTCCTCGGTGAAAGGGTCGCTTTGCGGCGCTGGTCCATCAGATGAACGCTGACCACATCCAGCGCCACTTTGGCGGTGTCTGCCTGCGCTCGTCGTAGGTAGGCACCGTCTCGGGGGTCCCTCTGTGGGGATCCCTGTGTGCACCTGTCGCTCCCTAGGTGGTTCTCGTTGTGTCTTTTGATGGCTTGACTTGTATTTTTGTTTTAATTTTGCTTTAATTTTTGCTGTATTTTGTGGTAATTTTGCTAAATTTTTGTAAGGTCCTTGTTATGATGTCTTTTTCTTCTGTGGCCGGTTGTTTTCCTCAATCCGACGTTGTGTCTCGTTGGATGTGAGCGTGCCGTGGTGTTCATTGTGTTTGTGCTGTGATGTCTTGTACATGTGATGTGTTACTCCCTTTTTGGGTGTCTAGTGTTTGAAATGGCCGTATCTCTGGTTATACTTGGTCGTTCTGTACGATTTTTGTTTCTGTGTGCAGGATTCTTCGCGCTTGTACTACTTGGCATGATAAAACCAGCGAATGTACCTTGTTCTCTTGTGTTATTTTGCGTGACGTTGTGATGTTGATGTCGGGGTTGCACAGCTTTGCTTTCAGCTCTGAGGTTCAAACACCTAATTTATTTATTATTTATTGCTCGCTCCCTCGCCCGCGGCGCACCCGTCTGCCCGCGATGGCGAAGTGGCGTTTGGCCTGGCCTCCAATCGCCCTCTACCCCGGCTCCCGAGAGAGCCCGTGCACGAATCGCTCTCTCACGACTCTCGTTATCGTCATGGCTATTTGAGCTCTCCCGCACATGACGATAGAGCCACCACGCCCAGGCGCTCTCCCATGGAAGCAGTGGATGCATCCCAATTTGGTGTTGCCTTTGGCACCAATGCGCCACCACGGGCCGGCTCTCGGACTCAACCACCCCACCACGTTTGGCACCGAGCCTACCAAACCTCAACCAAGTGGGAGTCCTATCGCGGTGACAGCAAGAAAGGTCTTGACTCCCTCAAAGAAAATGTCAACTCGGCCCTTGTTCTTCTCCAAGCCGAGCCCTTGCTGCATATGGCCACCCTCGATCTAGAGGGCTGCACCGCCGCTGGTATCCAGGATATTTATGGCGACATTTCTTCCGACCTGGACTACCTCATCTACGTCAACGACATCATGGTTGACTGGATCTTACCGTGCTTGAGAGGTGACCTTGCCTCTCGTTTTCAGCGCGAAACATCACGCCAACGCATCGTCTTGGGCGCCTGGTTCAAACAGATGGGCGCCCTCTTCCTCCAGACCACTCGTCACGACATTACCCAAGCCTCTCAGGCTCTTCGCGACCAACGCATCCGCATGGCCGACGACTTTCCTGTCTACCGCTCCTCCATCACTGCTGCCGTCGACACCCTTCGCATTGAGGGCGCCTACTCGGCAACCCTCGTCATCGCCCAACTGGTTGATGGCCTGCCTTCGAAACTCAGGGACGTGATTGCAAACCTGTATCAACCGTCTTGGGATTTGGGCAAGTTCTTTGAGGTGGTGACTGCTAACCTGCACAAACTCACGCCTGCTGGTGCCCGCGCCGAACTTAAACAGGGTGCCTTTGCTGTTGAGCATGGTGGAGGGCGCGGGCACGGGCATGGCCGTGGACGTGGTCGCGGACGCGGTCGTGGACGTGGTCGTGGACGTGGTCGCCATGGTATACACCACGGGCCCCACCCAAAGAGTGATCGCGTCAATGCCAACTGTGAATTTTGTCGCATCTATGGCCACGATGTATCTCAGTGCCGCAAGAAGCGCGCGTACGAGAAGCACAATGGCAAGCAGTTTGCGGCCCCCGTCATGACCGCGACCTTGTCTCTTCCACCCCCCTCCCATTGCCTGCTGCACC